AGTAGTTACTCCACCCTCACCTGAATCTGAGGAGAAGTTATTTGATCCAAACTTTAGAAAAGCTTCATATGGTAAGAGTAATGGGCAGGCTAGTTATGGGCTCAGAGAGAAGCCCAGAAAAACTTGGAGGGCCTCTGGTGAAAAAAATCCCCCATGGCCACTCGAAAAGTTCTGCAAGCAATGTGGGAAAGGATTTCGGTCCTTAAAGGCGCTGTGTGGCCACATGGCGAGCCATTCGGGGAGGGAAAGAGCTGCTAAAAACGACCATTCTTGGAACTCGGGTGAGGAGGATTGGAAGTTGGTACTGGACAGCCATTCGGAGTCCGAGCTCGAGTGTCGGGCTTCCCGGGCCCAATCCTCGAAGGGCAAGAAATTCAAGAAAATGGGCTTTAGTAGTAGGTCCCCTTTCACTTCACTTTATAATAATAATATCAGCAATGGCTCGTCTTCTGGTTCGGAGATCGACTGTAATGATCATGAGGAGGTTGCCATGTGTTTGATGATGCTGTCGAGGGATTTGGGGAATAATATGAGCTCGGTTGTGGAGTCTAGCGACAATAATTCGGTTATTTTGGAGACCAAATCGTCCTCTATGGACTTTTCCAAGAATGTAGGTAGCAAAAATGAAGCGTGCAAGAAAATCGAGGCATTGAAGTTGAAAAAGGAATGTGCTTTGGATGATGTTGAGAATTCTGATTCGGGGTACTTTTTAGACGAGTTCGAAAAGGCCGATTCAGATGTTCCTGTTGTTCCCAAAAAGAGCGCATTTTTCACTCGTAGTAATTTTGGTGCAGAGGAGGCAGTTAGTAAGGAATTCGAGCGCGAAAAAAACGGCCAGTTGAGAAAAATCGAGTCGAGAAAGAAAAAGCACGTTGCTGAGAATACCGAGTACGAGGAAAAGAAGAGAGTGAAGTACGAATGCTTCAACTGCAAAAAGACGTTTAAGTCCTATCAGGCGCTCGGTGGCCACCGGCCTTGCCATAAAAGGACCAACAACTCATTTTACGAGAATAGCTTGGACGATGATGCTGATGAGGAGCTCGTGAAAAGAAAGAAAACGAATGAGAAAAAAGACAAATCCAAGAAGAAGAAGAAGAGCAAAGGGCACAAATGCCCGTTTTGCGAACGGGTTTTCAAGAACGGGCAGGCCTTGGGTGGGCACAAGAGGTCCCATTTCATCGGTGGTCACGTTGAAACATATAATTACAGTTGTCCTAGTAATATTAACAACAATGTAAGCCAAATCGTGGAGAAAAAAAAGCAGCACATTTTTCTTGATCTCAATCTTCCGGCCCCAGAGGACGATGAGAACGGCGAGGAACGAGAGGTTCTTGGCTGAGTTTTGAAGTTTTTTTTTTTGGGGGGAAACAGCTGTCAAGGTAAATTGGAGGATTTTATATTCAAGTTTTATACGAGCTTTGATCGAATTTGCAAGGATGATGACTCAAGACAGCCTCTTTTCATTGATTTAAGCATGTCCTCCCCTGAATATCCCTATTTTTGCAGGAAACATGTCAAAAATTTTGAAGTGTTGCAACATTATATGTGGAAATTGGAATGAATCTTCTTTTGTTAGTGTACATTTTGATGCATTTGGTTCTGGTGAGCAGTGAACAAACATTATCGACGTTAGTTCTTTGACGAGCATTCTTTAACTGAGAATTAATCAGTTGGCTTACTTACTGTTTGTTCCTACCTGCATATTGCTACCAATATTCTTGATCGAATCGTAGTAAGTGTTTTGGAGGGTCGTATTCTTGATCGAATCGTAATAATTGTCTCTATTAATCATCCTGCTAATAAATTTTCAAAAGAGAAAGAAACAGTAGACAAACATAAGGGAACCTTTAAGTGCTTGGCAAGCAAGTAGATTGATTCTCTCTTTACCAAACATCTTTTTGAAACCTTTGTTAGTTTGTTTCCTTTCATTGGACTTTGAAGTTTGCTAAAGTATTATACAACTTTTTACCCTTTCAACTATTGTCTTTGAGCCTTTAACTCCACTGGTTTAAGGTCAGCTTTGATCTTAAAATTCAGTGTGTAAATGATGTAAATTATGGAGTTAAATCTTGATTGGTTAGATTGGTTAGATTATTATTATTATTATTATTACAGATTATTATTATTACATTTTGTGCATATTTGCAGACAACCAATCATACATTCTACTGTTTGGATATTCCACCCATCTTAATTATATTGTATTTTGATATCTTAATTTATGATGAAATGATATCAAGCTTACCCTTAATTGCAATGATTTAACAATATAAGCTAGTGCAAGGCACCCCATTCTTCATAGAACATTCACACATATTTGAGCTTAAAGATTATACTTTTCAAATATAATACAAATTATTAGAATATTTACTTGTGAGTTGTTCCACGTCGTTTATATAGAGAAAATAGGCTTAATTTATAAGTTTAATGTGCTACTCCTCCTTTCATCAATTGGTTTTGGTATGGAATCTCACTTGGGCTTCATATGGGCTTTTCCTGCTTATGGTGCGCTTTGTCTGCACGAGACAGTACCCATTTTCCCCCGTTTCTTACATGGTATTAGAGTCGGTTCTATTGGAACCGTTTAAAGAGTTGCTTATGGTGTGCTTCGTCTGCGTGGGACCGCACCCGTTTCCCCTAGTTATTAAAAGTACTACACTTAATTATAAAATTATGAATATTTAATAAAAAGTACTACACTTGACTTTGGAGAATATTTAATTATGCCATTGATGCAGAAAAAACAGGAAAAAAAAAAAAAAAAA